GGGAAAGGCACCGTGGTCTCTGTGATTGGTAGGTGGCACCCCAACTTGATTTCCAGGGATGGAAGGAGATCCACCCCAGTCAACCGAGAGACCTGTGGGTGTAAATCACATGTTTGGGACAAATTCCCTGCACGAAGCTGAGTCTCTCCAACCAAAAGCAGTCTTGGAGACTCAGGTATGATCTATGTGGGACTGTAAGTTGATGTGTCCCTCCTTCGTCTCTCAGCCAGGCTCCGTGGCCCCCCAGGCAGAATCACGACAGGGTCTCGGGCCTCTTTCCACTTCTCCGCAGAGGGATTCTCCCCCCAAGAGATCACAGTCACCTGGTTGAAGGACAGGAAGGAAATAGAGGAGGCCTTAAAGGGATCTTAAAATTTCACCTGCAATTGTGCTCTGTTATTATTAACACATGTGAACCAAATTGAAACTCCATATAAAATCTGAGATGCAGTTTTGGCATTAAAAACATTTATTGCTGCAGGAACAAATCTTCTTCCTTCTGAGTAAAAATATTAAAGTAACGCCATCATAGTAGATTTGGCTTTTCAGAAGTATTGCTTACAATGACGTTGCCAGCTTAGAGCACTGTTTAAATAAAATGCCCAGAAAACAAAAATTCTCTATTTCTGTTATTAAATGATCTTGAATTTTCCAGATGTGCTTTTTAACCTTTTTTTCAAAAACCAAAAATTTAGTTTTATCACAGTTAATTTGTAACTGATTTTCTTGGCAATACCTCACTAGCGCCTCAAGTAGGTGCTCCAGCCCCAATCTACTGTGCGGACGAAGAACAGCGTCATCTGCATATGACAAAGCACAAATTTTATTTTTGGTAATGGTGAACGTCGGTCCTCAGCCTGAAGTAAGGTGGTCTCCAGGTCACTGAGACAGATGTTAAATAGCGCAGGGGCCAGGATGCAACCTTGTCTCACTCCCTTCTTCATCGTAATATCGTCGTAGGTGCCCCTGTTCAGGTGCATCCGACGTGCATTATATAGTCTCAACGTAGTACTTGTTTTAGGTATGTATGACACCTGTCAGAAACCAAATTCTACAATTTAGCTCCAAGTTCGGTTCTTCTAGGAATCAAAAGTGGCTTTATTGAGACTAAACCAAAACGATCCGCTGTCTTTTCCCCACAGGCTCACAGGGGCAGTCCACCTTTGGCCTCTGGATGGGGCTTTTCCTGAACAAAATAGGAGTGGCTCTTTTCCTCCTCGGCCTTTTCCGAATCAAGGAGCGCCGATGCTGTGTTGCCAGATCTTTTGCTGGATCTTCCCAAGAAGTGAGACAGGCTGAAAGTTCAATTTAAGAACTCCTGTTCCCGACAATGTTCAGGATGAGAAAGGACCTGGCCAGGAAATGAATAATAATGTTATCAAAATGCTTGTATAATGTTTCGCTCTCCGAACCATATAGCGTGAGAACCATACGAAACCAAGACTGAGATATAAAAATTCAAGCTCACCGTGTTTTGCCATATCTGTGACTCCAATGAACCTATATTAAAACATAAATACTGATTCTTTATTTAAAAAAGAAAACCAAGCAAGAAAATGGGAGTAATTGTTCTTTCGATGGGCATTTAAAGGATGATTCAGAAAAAAATAAAAAGTATTTGGTGACGGAAGTTATAAATGAGCAAATATAAAAATAACACAATTGCGGGGTGTAGACAGGCTTCTCTAATAGTAAGAAGTGATATAAGATGATAAATGTCCACGTTCAATACTTGTGTCTAAGCTATTTGTATAGACAGATATAATTTAACAGAACTTACGTCACTCTATAATTTATGTAATGGTACAAAGAAAGATATGGTGAGGCTTTCCGGTACTTTACTGTATTTAATTATTTGAATTAATTGTCTATGTCAGTGTTTCTCCATCTCTGCAACTTTAAGATGGGTGGACGTCAGCTCCCTTTTTCTCAAACGACACCCAGAATCACTTTTTCCACCCAGAGACACTTTTTCGTGAGATGAGCGGTATCCAAAGTTGAAATATAAATAAATAAATAAATAAACAAATAAACAAATAAACAAATAAACAAATAAACAAATAAACAAATAAACAAATAAACAAATAAACAAATAAAC